CAAGCACGAGCGAAGCGTGTGGGTGCTCGGGAGCTAAGACGTGGTCCCATCCACGCAGGCGCTCAGATCAGAGCCAGGGTTCCTGCATTGATGCAGTCGTGGGACGTGAAGGGATGGGACTGCCCACGCAGAGAGAGGAGTCAGGGCCGTTTCACCAAGTTGGCAAAACCATCAGTGCTGAGAAGAGGCAGGATGGCTCGGAGGAGGGGGCCCTGGCTCGGGGGAGGGGGTCCTGGCTCGGGGGAGGGGGTCCTGGCTCAGGGGAGGGGGCCCTGGCTCGGAGGAGTTGGGCTGCCGGGGTTTGAACCCTGGCTCTGTCACTTACAAACTCCATGAACTTGGACAGCACATCACTTCTCTTTGACTTAAATCTTAATCTTTCAAACAGGAGTCATGAGGGTACCTATTTCATCAGATTGTGTGAAGCTAAGGACAGAGGTGCTTGGCGCTCAGGCAGCCCTGATCTCATCAAGCAGCATTATCTGGAGGATGAGGGGGCATTTCTGGGCAGGTGAGGGCGTGGAGAAGGGTGTTCTGGGCAATGGGGAGGCGCAGAGGCCTGGGCTGCTCTGATGGGTACCGAATTCTGCAGGAGCCTTGCTGTGGCAGCTCCGGAAGGCTAGCTCAGAGGACGGGGTGCTGGCCCCCGGGCGGAAGCAGGTCAGGTCAGGAAGCATGGGTGCCCACCCGGCACTCAGATGTGACTTCCCAGGCAGTGAGGCCCTTCCCGCCTCTCTGCTCTCCCGCCACCCTGGACCCTGCTCTCAGCGTCCACTCCACCACTGGTGCCCCCGAGCCTGCATCCTTCCCTGTGTGTCCTGCAGCAGGGCGACACCCTGTTTCTCTTTCTGCTCCTGATGACCGATGCACCCAGGTGCCTCCCGGCGGGCGCCCAGTGCACAGTCACTTGTCTGCTGTAGGCCCGCACCTCCAGCCCCCATCTCACCCAGCTGCATCCCCTTTCTCATGCTCCTAAAGGAAGCTGTCCGCGACCCCTGAGCACTCGCCGGCGATGCGCACTCGCAGGGGTTGCCTCCCACCTCACCCGCGGGTTCTGACCAGCCAGTTCTGACCGTAAAGTCTTTTCCTACGTCCTTACAGCATCTCTGTTCAGGAACAGCACCCCCACCCTGCCCCGTCCCTACCGGGATGAATGTGAAATGGGAGGAAATGATTGTGCAGCAAACGGGGCGCTCGGAGCGTGTGCCACCTCTGTGTCCTTGTACTTGAACACCTGTGTGGTGGCCTCCCCAGGAGGACATCGGGGTGAGCAGGCTTCCCGGGACCCGGAAGCGTGGCAGGGGCTCCCCATCACCTTCTGTATCACTAGGTTGTCACAGCTTCCGGGAAAAGGACAATAAACAGGCACCTGTTT